CAGCACGTTTCGTAACCAGTATGCTACCAGAGCTCCTAAAACAAACCTACGAGACTGAAAATAGGGAGCCAGAGGTAACACTTTGCAACAACAAAAATAAAAAGAGGAAACAATGTATTTACAGAACTTCCAAATGAAGAAGCGCTGTATTGGTCTGTGAACCACTAGGTTGGCAGTTCAACCCACCAGCTGCTCCTCAGAAACCCTATACAGGGTCGCTATGAGTTGGAACCCACTTAACAGCACTTAACAATAACAACACAAACCTAAAATGAGATCAAGCCTTATTTATAGTCCTAAGCCAACCCCAACCTGTAACATTAACTCTGGTCCTAGCCATAACCTTAACACTAAACGAAGTTCTAGACCTAGCCTAGAGTTAATCATAGTCTCTTTATTCCTTATTACTTACTCCTACTCCCACAAAATATATAAAGAATGACAACAAAAAAGAACTCAAATTCTTAATATATCCAGACTTACTTGACTAGTTGAAATAAAGAAGTCTCTGAGTTCTGTTGCCCCGACATATTCTTTAAAACTTGCATCAAATATCCCGAGGTCATCCTTTAGCTATATAACAGACTGGCTCACAAAATAAAGAACACCAGTCATTGCACACCTTTTAAAAATACAATACCACAGAGAGCTCTGGTAGCGTAGTGGTTACAAATCGGGCTGTGAACCACAAGGTCAGCAGTTCGAAACTACCAGCTGCTCCATGGGAGAAAGATGAGGCTTTCTGCTCCTGTAGAGATTTACAGCCTCAGAAACCCTGTACAGGGTCGCTATGGGTCGGAACCGACTCAACAGCACTTAACAACAACAACAACATACAATACCACATGATCAACAATCACTCTAAAGCGAAGATGAAAGAGCAAGGGAACAGGGAAACCAAATTACTGGCAGTGAGATATGCAGAAAAGAATTAATGAGAATGTTAAAACATTGTGGAAAATGTAACCAATATCTCTGAACAACATGCTTTGTTAAGTACTTTAGAGTTGGTTCAAACTCATAGTGACCCTGTAAAGAGTTTCCAAGGAGCAGTTGCCTTGAGGTTCAAAGCAACCTTCGGTCCAGTGGTTATCCTACAATGCCACACCACATGTAGCAATTGTTAAATGAGAACCTAACTTGTGTATACTTTTACTGGTGAAGCCTGTGGGTTAATGCGCTATGTTGCAAGCTTCGTCTGAACCGCAAGGTCAGTGGTTGCTATGAGTCGGAACCGATTCGACAACACTTAACAACAACTTGTGTAAACTTTTACTGAAAACAGAGTAAAATGTTATTTTTAAAAACAAACTTTAAAAAAACAAAAAAATCTTAATCATTATCCAGGGAAAGAGTGACATCAAAGATGGAGGCAGAGATGGGAACAGGGAGAGAGGGAGCGGCTGAGGACTCTAGATTCATGGGAAGTGAAGGACTAAGAGCTGGTGGCCAGGAGGCAGACTTGCAGAATGTACCCTTTGGTGGTGTAAATTATTATATATGCCTGAGTGTTTGAAAAAAAAATGCTAAAGTAAATAGAGAGGATTATCTGCCCTGTAAACTTTTACTCAATCCACAGTAAAAACCTTAAATAAAAAAAACAAACAAAAAACTTAATAAGAGCATCTTGAAATAAGCAAGAAAGAAGCAATTTGTCACATACTCATGTAAGGTATCATCAAAAAGAGTAGAATTTCTCACCAGAAACAGTGGGATGACATTTAACATCCTAAGGAGAAAAAACTATGCTTCAAAACTGGAGAAATGACCACATTCCTAGATAAACAAAGGCTAGTTTATCACATAACCACAGTTTATCACTAGTAAGCCTGTCCAACAAGAAATGCTAATGGGAATCTTCAAGACAAAATGACAGTAACTCAAAACTATCAAAGAACTTTGGTGGTGGTGGTTGTGTGCCATGGAGTCGGTTCTGACTCATAATGATTCTATGTAGGGTTTCTGAGGCTGTAATTCTTTACAGGAGCAGAATACCTTGTCTTTCTCCCTTGGGATGGCTGGTAGTTTCAAACTGCTGACCATGAGATTAGCAGCCTGACTCGTAACCCCTATACTACCAGAGCTCCTTATAAAGGTACAATTTCAAATCGTGTAGAAAAGATAGCTTTAAAATTAATAAATATTGTTTGGTCAATTGGCTTTTCAACTGGAGACAAAATGAAGAAATTTATAACATATGAAAAATAAATTTCATATGAAGCAAGTGTCTAAATGTAAAAAGTAAGCCTATAAAAGAACTAGAAAATGTTATAAAGAATCAGACCCATTATCCTGGAGTGAAGGTGTTTCCTAGTCATATAAGGCTGATGTTGTTGTTGACATCCATTTTGGTCTTTTCCTTCTTCCTTGTTTTCATAATGACCTTTTTATCTCTTCCTGTATGATATTCTAGATGTCACCCCACAACTCTTATGGTCTTTAGTCATTAGTGTCTAATGCATCAAATCTGTTCTTGCGATTATATTTAAAGTCAAATGGGATATATTCAAGGTCATATTTTGGCTCTCATGGACTTGTTTTAATTTTCTTCAGCTTCAGCCTGAATTTGCATATGAGCAATTATGGTCTGTTTGACTGTATGCCCTTGGCCTTATTTTGACTGATGATATGGAGCTTTTTCAGTGTCTCTTTCCACATAGGTAGTCAATTTGATTTCTGTGTATTCCATCTAGTGAGGTACATTTATATAGTCATATATTATGTTTTTTAAAAAAGGTATTTGCAATGAAGAACTCATTTACCTTGCAAAATTCCATCATGTCATCTCCAGCTTCATTTCTTTCATCAAGACCATATTTCCCTCTTTGTTTCCAAACTTTGTATTCCAATCACTAGTAATTACCAATACATCTTGATGGCATGCTTGATCAATTTCAGACTCAAGAAGTTGGTAAAATTCTTAATTTCATCATCACTGGCTTTAGAGGTTGGTGTGTAAATTTGAATAATAGTTGTATGAACTGGTCATCCTTGTAAGTGTATGGATATTATCCTCTCACAGACAGCATTGTACTTGGAAGATACATCTTGAAATGTTGTTTCTGATGATGAATGCGACACCATTCATCTTTAATTTGTCATTCCTGGCATAGTAAACTATGTGATTGTCAGATTCAAAATGATCAATACCAGTTTATTTCAGCTCATTAATGCCTAGGGTATCAATGTTTATGCATTCCATTTCATTTTTTGACAACTTCCAATTTTCCTAGATTCATACTTCTTACATTCATGTTTCAATCATGAATGGATGTTTACTGCTGATTCTCCTCATTTGAATTGTACCCGATCAGCAAATGAAAGACCTGAGAACTTTATTCACATCATCACAATCAACTCTACTTTGAAGAGATTGCTCTTCCCCAGTCGTATTTTGAGTTCTTTCCGACGGGAGCAGCTCATCTTCCGGCACTATATCTGACAAAATTCTAGTGCTGCTTCATCATGCTTCAATATTCAATATTCTGGTGCTATCCAAGATTTTCCACTGCTATTTGTAGGTTTTCAGTAACTATTCAGAAGTAGTCTGTCTCTCTTTCCTTGTCTTTGTTAATCTGGAGGCTCAGCTGAGACTTATCCACCAAGGTTGTTCTTGCTGATATTTAAAATATTGGTGTCATAGCTTCCAGTATGACAAACTGACATGTGTAGAGGCTGATAGATTTGATTATATGGAAATTTTAAACTTATTTAGAGTAAAACAATGTTAAAAGACAAAACTGAGAGAGAGAAAAAATGCCATACATAAATAAGAGAGAAAGAAACTGGATGGAAACATGTAAATATGAAGAAAGTAAAATATTTTAAAATATAAATTAGTTCAGAGTCAACCACACATAGACTACATTATGTCTCTTCATAAGATAGGCCTCAGAGATAGACAGCTAAGTATCTAGCTACTATGAGTTGAGTCCCAACTCATTGTGAATTTATGTATAATGTATCGTTGTTGTTGTTGTTATTAGGTACCATCGAGTCGGTATCGACTCATAGCCACTCTATGCACAACAGAATGAAACCCTGTCCGGCCCTCATCCAACCTCCCAATTGTGGTTATTGTGCCAATTCATCCGAGGGTCTCAGCCTTCGTTGACCTTCTGCTTCATGAAACACAATGTTCTTCCACAGCAATAGATCTCTCCAGAACAAGGATGCCCAACAAAATTCTGTTGTGATCCATGTGGTTTTCACTGACCACTTTTCTGAAGTAGATGCCAGATCTTTGTCCTAATCTGTCCTTGGAAGCGCTGCGGAAATCTCTCCACTATTCGCGATGCCCTTGTCATAGCTATCAGCCATCACAGCAATATTTAAGAGACCACATTAAGAAAAACTGAAAAAGTGAGAGAAGTAGTCAAGTCCATGGTAGCTGCTATCTATGTTAGGTGATGGAATGTGGGTGATTGTTTTCTTCTCTGGGTTTTCCTGAAATTTTCCAATTATTACCATAATAGCATGTTATGGTCGTAATTAAAAATTAAAGTTTAGCTGTTACAGAAAAGTTTGTGCTTCTTTCTATTGTTCCCTGTTTGAGGTGTTTAGTTTCACATTAGGGTATGCTGGAAGGCACTGGGCTTTTTGCCTCCACGAAACCTATTACAAAACTGAGTCTTTAACAGATATTAAAACATAACTACCCTCACAGATTGGATAAAGCAAAGTTGATCCTGTAGGTGTGGAAGATTTGGATGGCAACACATGAGTACCTTACACTTCCTCATTACATATTTCTTTCTATCCTCTATCCCAGTGCCATCTTCATAACTCATCCAACCTGGCTAGTATTAATTACATGCAAGAATTCATTCCTGGCGCGCGCGTCAGCGTGACTCCTGCGTCTCCACGTCCGCAGCCCTCAGGGGAACGCCCTTAACCCTCCCCCTCAATTTCCACCCCCACCCCCGGTCGCATGGTGTTGTTATCACGTGGCTTGGACGAGCCCTGACGTCAGGGGTATGGGAGGGCCTGCGCACGCGCAGAAAAGGGGGCGGGGGCCTGCTTGTTGTGTTGCTGCTGAAGAACCAGAGACAGTCTTGCCGCGGCAGCAGCACCTACAGCCGCCCGACAATGTCGTCTAATTTGGTAGAGCAGCCACCGCCCCTGCACAACAACAACAACAACTGCGAAGAAGGCGAACAACCTTTGCCACCGCCAGCCGGCCTCAACAGTGAGTGCTGGCCCGGCGGGATTGGTAAAGGGGGTGGGGGAGGAGGAGTTGGTCTGGCCGCCACCACAAGCTTCTCGCGAGGGGCGGGAGGAGAAGGCAGCCTATTGGTCAAGGCCCTGGACGTTCAGGGGACTGACAGCTCCCATCACCTGTCAGGATGAGTCGCTCTTGCTTTTCACTTTGCCTGTCTCCCTTACATCCTAAGCTCTGAGTTGGGGACTATTTCTGTGCGGTGTCGGGAAGTGCAGGTGGGTGGGAAGAAACGAAGGTGCGATTGTCCAGCAGGTTGGAGGACCGAGTGCTTCCACCTGTGGTGGGTCGGCAGAAGCGGAGCCAATCAAGGCCTGGAGGGGGCGGGCCTTCGGTGCGCGGGGCGGAAGGAAAGGGCGGGGAAGGTGGGCGGAGCGGGCCGCGGAGGGGACGTGGGAAGGGATGGGGACGTGCGGTTGAGACTCTGGGGGATGGACGGGCGACCGAGGGAGGAAAGCGGTGGGACGTGTCCACCATCAGGTGTGCAATGGAGCTTTAGCCTCTGCGTCAGCGAGCTAACGTTGCTGAATTGGGCTTTCCCCAGGGCTTGGAACGAGTCCTCCGGTTGTGTTATTTTGTTACCACAGTCTCGTCAGAAAAATCCTTGTGGTAATTTAATGGTTATGTCAATCACGTGTGGAGGCAAGGAGCCTGAGTTTTGTTTTTTGTGTTTTTACGTGATGGGGGGGCGAGATTTTTCAGAGTTGTTGAAGTAGTGTTTTTGAAATGACTTGATTGACTGTCAGGAAACCTGTTTTATAAACATCCTCATGAACTGCCCAAGATTGCACAAATCACGTCTGAGGAAATGCATTTTCAGAAATGGGATGAAAAGCGTACACACGAATTGTTGAAAGTTAATGAGCAATATTGAGTTAACGACCAACTACAGTTGCTTCATAACGTTTTGGTGCTCAGACCTGTCATCCTGAATTATTTCCAGTTATTTGTAAATTTCGGCGTCTTCCTGGAAAAGTTCTTGTCTAGTCTGTAATTCATTTTATATGAAAGAGATCTTTCGGGCAGTTAGCTTATGGCCAGATAAATTCAATTAAGCATCATTTGGATGCCTGAAGGTCATTTAAAGGCACTGCGATATCTTTCATCGTAAGAAGGAGGTTCTTCCGACAATGCCTAAAAATTATTTTAGGGAAAGAGATTTTCTGTTCTTCCAATCATGGGGCATTTAAAAACATGTATTCAACGTTTTTTGCTTCTTCACCATTTATTTAAAATAATTTTAATTGTTGAGAATATACTTGTACATAGCACTAATTCAACAGTGATGATGATTACAGTCTTCAGGTTGTGCAAAATTTCCACCCTCCATTTCTGAGTTGTTTCTCTATTAACTTGAACTCACTGCCCCCTGAGGTACCTATCTCATCTTTTGAGTTGCTTATGTCAGTTTGATCCCATATGTTGTTGTTGTTTAATGCTGTCGAGTCGGTGTTGACCCATAGCGACCCAGTATAGGGTTTCCAAGGAGCGACTGGTGAGCTTGAACCTCTGACCTTTTGGTTCAAACGACTTTGCAGTCCGTTGCATTAACCCACAGCACCACACCAGGACTCCTATATAGATACATCTTAAAAGAGCTCAAGGCCTATTTTGTTTATTAATTATGAATTTTGTTTGCTTTTAAGAAGACTAAAGGGGAATATCTTTTAGGCTGGGTTAAGTGATAAACTACTAACCACAAGGTTGATGGTTCAAATCCCCTAGCTTCTCTGTGGGAGACAGATGAGGCTGTCTGCTTCCACAACGATTGATAGAAACTCTACATAGGGTTGCTGTGAGTCATCAGGTTCTTCTGTGAAATCGAGCAACCGGATGAGTTGGAACTACCAACATTAGCTTGGCAGTTGGCACTTAACTATTATGCTACCAAGGTTCCTTTTCATCTTTTGATGGGTTAATTCTCTAAGTGTTAATTTCTTTATTTTAACTTTTTAAATGTCTTATTATTTTACGTTCTAGATTTTAAAATTTATATCTCACAGTAAGTTAGGATTAATTTATGTCTTAAATATTGTATCAAGTATTAATTGCATTCTTAACTGCTTTACCATTTTTAGCATAGACTCTTGGGTGGTGGTGGTGATTGTGTCTTGGAGTCAGTTCTGACTCATAGTGACCCTGTATTGGGTTTTCGAGGCTGTCAATCTTTATGGGAGCAGAAAGTCTTGTCTTCCGCGGAGCCACTGGTAATTTTAAACTGCTGACCGTTAGCAGCCGGACTTGTAACCACTATGCTACCAGAGCTCACTCTTAGAAGCATGGGATATAGAAAGGGAAAGGCTCTTCAGAAATTATGAGGGGTTTTTCAAAAACTTCATGGGACAGTGAACTTAAAAGATAATGGAATTTTTCCATGAACTTTTCCCATGTAGCCCCCTCATAACTGCCCCCTCTTATTTGTAAGTAAAGAAACTGAGGTTAGAATTTTCCTAGAGTAAAGCTTCTTGCCCAGGTTCACAGCAGGGTGGGACTTGAAGTTCAGGTTCTGACTTTCAGCCAGTCTTGCCCTACTTTGGTACACTTCTGTTTCAGTGGTCTAGAATCCTCAGTGTTTCTGATTCTCTCACTATGTTATTGTACTCAGTGTACAGAAGTGACCTGCCTCTTTATTCTTTCAGTATTATATTTCTTAATTGCATGATTTAGTGTTGTCCTTTGATATGCACAAGTTTTTATCTGTTTTGTTGTTATTTGTGCATGATTTCACAGAATAGAAGGAGATGGTAATTTCCCTTTCACCATTGAGAAAAGAAATGAGATTGAGCTCTGTGTGATTGTGCCTGTGTCTGAAGGCAGACCTATGAGGTGTGTGATGTCCTTGGCCAGTCTGATTGCTACATTTACATTAGCTCTTGTTGAAGTGAAAGAATAGTTGACCTACAGATGATACAAAAATGTGTCTTTAGAAATCTGCTAGATAGTATCTCACTTGGGGTGGAGTTAGTGTTTTAAAGTTACTGAAAAGCATATTAGATAATGCCATATTTAATGACTTCCCCCTTGCTCTCCTTACTCTGCTTCTTTTTTATTTTTTTGACCCATTATACAACATGGGACTGAACAAAACAAGAAGCCTTATTGATTCATTCAGTAATTTTGAGGCACTGAGCAAAACAACTTATTCAAGCGTCTAAAACTATTCAAACTGCACATAAGTTGAAATACTTTGTTGGATAAAGTTGCACAACTATGAAAAATAGGAGCTGAAACTTATTGTACGGATAATCTCTGGCTTGGAATGTTATCTTTAATTCAAGGATGAAGAGCAGAATTTTAATAGCAAATTATCGAAATATTTGGAATAATGAAACTCTGATTTTAATTTTTTACTTTACTGCTATACGTGGACTATTCGTTTCCATTGTTGTTGTTAAATGCCATTGAGTCAGTTCTGACTCTTGAATAGGATTTATGAGGAGCACCTAGTGAGTTTGAACTACTGACCTTGCAGCTAGCAGTCCAGTATTTATGCTACAGTGCCATTCCAGAACTCTGCATTGCAAATTAGTCAGCAAATATCTGAACTATAGTACTTCCTGGTGTGGTGCTGTAGGATAAACACTGGACTGCTAACCGCAAGGTTGGTGGCTCAAACCTACCAGTCACTCCTTGGAAACCCTATATTGGATCGTTATGAGTTGGAACTGACTTGACAGCTCCAGAGTTATTTGGGGTATTTTCCAGTTGCTAGTTAATACTCATTTTTTCTTTTTTAAAACTTTTTATTGTGAATTGAATGAAGGTTTACAGAGCACATCATCAATTTTATATTCAACAAATCATATACTTTGTTTCATTACATGTTTGCAATCCTCTCCACGTACCAACAGTTAACAATATTTACTTTTATTCACTTTAGCTATTACATTCTTTCCTGTGTCTCCCACTACCTTCATCTTCCCTCTTATTGTTTATTGCATGCCCTGTCACTCATATTAACATGTCTACCCTCTAGCCCATGAATAGTTTTCCCTCCCTCCCTGGCCAACCATCAAAGCCATCATAGATTATTTCTTTTAACAAGAATTTTTTTTTTAACCTTTTATAACATTGGTCTCATACAATGTTTATCCTTTTGTGATTGACTAATTTCACTCAGCATAATGTCCTCCAGGTTCAACCATTTTATGAGGTATTTCATAGATTCATCATTGTTTTTCAACGTTTTGTAGTATTTCATGTATGTATCGTAGAAGAATTGATGCCTTTGAGTTGTGGTGTTGGAGGAGGGTGCTGAAAGTGCCATGGACTGCCAAAAGAACCAATAAATCTGTTTTGGAAGAAGTGCAGCCAGAGTGCTCCTTGGAGGCCAGGATGGCTAAGCTTCGTCTCTCATACTTTGGACATATTGTCCGGAGGAAACAATCACTGGAGAAGGATGTCATGCTGGGTAGGGAGGAAGGTCAGAGAAAAAGAGGAAGACCCCCAACGAGATGGATCAGCCAGGTGGCATCATTGATGGACTCAAGTGTGGCAGCGGTAGTGAGGTTGGCCCAGGATCGAGCATTGTTTCGTTCTGCTGTGCATGGGGTCACTATGAGTCGGTTCCGACTCGATGGCACCTGACAACAACAACAACAATGCTTGTTTAACCGTTTTTCTGTTGTTGGGCATTTAAACTTTCTGCATCTTTTGATGTCTCTTGTAGATAGCATATTAGTGGATACTGTTTTCTTACCCATTCTGCTTTTTATGTCTCTTGACTGGTACATTTAATCCATTTACATTAGTGTAATTATCAGTGGGTATGAATTGATTGTTATTTTCTGTGTGCTTTTTTGTGGTACTACTGGATTCTTTCTTCCACAAAGTTTTCTATCCTGCATTAATTTTGTTTGTAGGTTTTCTTTCCATTTTCATTTCTGTTGTATTAATGTTTACTAAATCGTTCTGATTTTCCTCTTTTTTTGTTTTGATGTACAGGTGTAATGTTTTTCTTTGAGGTTATCCTATAATTTATAAATTTTTTCCCTGCTTAAAAGTCTGTTTTATTCTTGAAATCTACTTGCCTTCTGCTAGTTATATTCTTAAGAAATAAGAATTAGCTAAGAAATAAGAATTAAGAAACATGAGTTAGCTAATGTTTATATAGTCTTAATTCATGTCATAAGGTTCAGTGGTAATATGAGTAAAATCAGGGTAGTAGTATAATTCTTGTTATTGTTTAATTTGGGAATAAACAGGTTCAGGCTTTTTTCCTTTTCTTTTTCAACATCTTCAACCATGATATACTTGCTTCCCAAATGTGGCAACAAGGTTTTTAAGGTTGTGACACCTAAAATTTCACTGCCTTATAACATGAAGGGGCTTCAGAAAGTTCGTGGAAAAGCCCTTTTATCTTCTAATTCATTTTTTTCCAACATACTGCTCCCCCCTCCCAAGTTTTTATTGTGAATTGCGTGAAAGTTTATGGGGCAGATTATCAGTTTTGCATTCAGTAAATCATATTTTGTTTCATTGCAATGATTACAGTCCCCTTCATGTGCCATCAGAAAATACATAATCATTTAAACGTCCAGAAGGCACTCTTTTGCAAGCCAGCCTCCTGTCCGTAGGCACACAGCCTTTCTCAGTCCATGGGCCTAGAGTCCTCGGCTGCTCTATCTCTCTGTGCCATCACTTCTGCCGCCCCGACCCTCTCTGCTATTAAAACTTTTCTGGTTAGGATCTCATGCTCCACTCGTGCTCATCCCTCTTGATGGTCTTAGGGTCCTTTGTTTCTGAAATGGGAGATTAATTACTCCCCCCTTTTAGCTACACCTCTTCTATGTGTGCAGTTATACGTCTTCTACATGACAGTCACAATTAGTCTTCATGATATTTACATTACACACAATTGAATCTTAAAATCCTATCCTCATTCTCCCCTGTCCCCGTTTACCAGATCCATCTGGAAAAGAGCAAAAGTATTCAGTGGGGATTCTACCTTATCCCCCTCACTCTGAAACTAAGCACACTCATGAAAGCTTGTAAGCCAGCCACTTTGTGACTTAATAGTCCCCCCCCCCATTTTTGATAGCCTATATCTAAAGTACTCATCCCTATCAATCCAGTGCACAGAGGAGGCAAGTTTGATCCTTAATATGAAGAGTCTTTTCCTTATGGTTGAAATTTTTAGTAACCACATCCATAAGCAAACGTCCAGATCATTAAATTGTAGCAATTCACACTTGGTCCCCGAATCAAACTTCTTTATCTTCATATGATCGGGTTCTGGGCAGTTAGCCATACAAGGAATGTCAGATGGGTCCACGAACTATTCTTGAATATGCTGTCTGAGTACTCCTTCAAAAAGACCTAATTTTTTTTAAAGAATGCCAGTGACTAGTCTTAGTCTGGATTCTAGCATTAGATACGTGAAACAAAATATTGGCTTTGAGGAAAAAGGATAAAATATAATAAACTAATATAACAAATCAAGAAGTATTGCTACTAGGGTTCCAGTTCATACATACATGGGTTTATTTCAAACTAAAATGTGTTTCAACATGTCTGTGTGATTGTGGATGGCTGTAGACAAGTTCTTTCAGTAATACTCTTGTCTTAGTCTCATTAGGGTGCCTTCTAAAAAACAAAACCCAATCAAAACAGTGGCTTCCAAGGAAATCTGCTGGGCTGGTTACATTCAGGGCAGAGAGGTAAGCTCAGAAAGTTTTGGGAGATCCTGAAGGGGTGATCCTGATAGATTTTCTAGAAGGGCGCAGATGATCACTGGGCTCATTAGGAAGAACTCTTAAGAAAATTGAAAACCGCAGAGGTAAGAGGAAGGCCAGGAAAATTGCATGGAAGAATTGTTTTCCTTCATAATTATGTACTTACTCATTCTTCAAGGGTAGCAAGAACTGTCCTATGAAAATTTCATTGGAAAACCTTACCCAAATTATCCTACAGCCCTGATCTTGCCCCTGTAGACTTTGTTGTTGTTGTTGTTCTCAAAACTCAAAGAACATTGGAAAGGAACACGATATGAGTCCTTCAAAGACGCAGCAAATGAGGTTTTGATGAAGTGTGAATTGAAGAGGCAGAATTTGTGGGTGAAGGGTTAGAGGATGAAAACACCACCTTCATAAGTGTGGAGACCTAGATGGAGGGCATGTTGAGAATCAATAATTTAATTTTTTTATGTTCTTAGCAAAAGTTTCTATGATTTTGTAGCAGTGTTGTTGTTGTTGTTTTTAACTTACCCTCACATGTCACCCCTGGTTGGGATAAACTTTATTTGTAGGAGCTTGAAAGCTTGGGGCGGGGAGAATGAATAGAAATACTTCTTCTATTGCTCTGGTAGCGTAGTGGTTACGAATCGGGCTGCGAACCTTAAGGTCAGCGGTTCAAAACTACCAGCCGCTCCGCGGGAGAAAGATGAGGCTTTCTACTCCCGTAAAGATTTATACCCTCGGAAACCCTGTACAGGGTCGCTATGGGTCGGAACCGACTCGACGGCACTTAACAACAACAACAACAACAATTGCCCTTAAACCCCCACACCCCCATCTGTAAGAGATGAGTTGAACTGGTGACTTTAAAGCTGTAAAGAACGTACATCAGGACTGACAATTTAGAAACATGCTTCTTGGAAAATCTGTTGTTGTTGTGTGCTGTGGAGTAGGTTCTGACTCATAGTGACCCTACACAGGGTTTCCGAGGTTGTAAATCTTTACGGGAACAGACCGCTTCATCTTTTTCCCGCGGAGCAGCTGGTAGTATCGAACTGCTGACCTTGCGGCTCGCAGCCCGATTCGTAACCACTACACTACCAGAGCGCCTTAGGTAGTCCCAAAGGTTTAAACTGGAAAATGCTATTGTATGCATGTATGTACAAATCAGCGTAAGAGAAAACTTTTCTGTGTATAAGTACCTTGGGATATAATTTAGAGCCTTCAGGTTTTAATTTTACAGCTTACTTATTAGGAAGAGAATTCAATTTGAGATTTTTTTCCTACTTTATATTACTTGCACAGCACGATCCTCATAATTTGTTTTCCTTCCCAAGTAAAAGGGACTTTATGAGGATTGGTAAAGTTAAAACATTAAGAAATTCTGAGTTCATCAGGAATGAATTAGGTGACAGGGGAAAGCCATATGCAGTTAATTTATTGAGAAAGACAAGTTTGTGTTTTCATTTTGCTTAAAGGATAAAGCTAATATGTAGCTTCTTAGTGAATATCTGTGTACATACTTTCTTTGCTGCACTGTCTAGTGAAGTAGGATTCTGGAAGGGAATTACTGAGTTAAAGGAAAGCTACTCCCTTTCTAAGGCTCTAACTACGTATTGCCGAGCCCTGGTGTGGCACTGTACAATAAAGCACCGCAAGGGCCACTAGTTGCTCTTTGGAAATGCTATACAGTAAGTTGGAACTGACTTGATGGCACTAAACAACAACTACATATTGCCAAACCACAGGGTAGGCAGTTCAAAACCATCAGCAGCTCTTTGGGATAAAGAAGAAGCTGCTCTGTAAAGAGTTACAGCCTCAGAAACCCTATGGAGCTGTTCTACTCTGTTCTGTAGGCAAAGATGTTCTACTCTGAGATGCAACCAGTTCAACAGCTTTGGGTTTTGTTTTGCTTTTATACTAAAAATTAAAAGTAAATAGCTTATCTTGTAATAAAGTAAATTATTTTTTTTACAAGCAGCTTCAAAGGTTTTAGTTATTGTTGATTGTACATAAACTAAGCTTTAACTAGAGATTTAGCATTTAACAAATGGCTGAGAAACTCATTCTTTAAAGATAGTTTTAGTATTCCAGGCTATTCTAAATTGAATGGTTGCATGTACTTTAGGATCAGAACTCTGTAGATTTTTAGAATTTTACTGCTTGTTTATTTTCTTCAGAATGCTTTTGCGTTGGTTTGAGACAAGGCAGAATTCTTATCTGAATTCACCATATTCATATTAGTGTGCACATGACAGATTTCAGTTCTGCTGTGGTTAATTTAAGTTATCTGACTTGTCCAACAGGTTCCTGGGTGGAGCTGCCAATGAACAGCAGCAATGGCAATGATAATGGCAATGGGAAAAATGGGGGGCTAGAACATGTACCTTCTTCATCTTCTATCCACAATGGGGACATGGAGAAGATTCTTTTGGATGCACAACATGAATCAGGACAGAGTAGTTCCAGGGGCAGCTCTCACTGTGACAGGTAAGTGAGATTCATTCATGTTTGGGTAGAATTGTTGAAATAGATGGATTGCCCAAATGAGTTTTGAGTTTACAAGGTTATTTCCTGTTGTTGTTAAAGTGTTATTGAGTCAGTTCCAATTCCTACAGATCCTAGATAGGATTTCCGAGGTGTGGGTAGTAGATTTGAACCATCAACTATACGGTTAGCTCTGTGATTCTTAACCTGTAGTGCCAATCAAAATCCCTAATTCCTATTGTTGTTGTTGTTAAGTGCCGTCGAGTCGGTTCCGACCCATAGCGACCCTGTACAGGGTTTCCGAGGGTGTAAATCTTTACAGGAGTAGAAAGCCTCATCTTTCTCCTGCAGAGCAGCTGGTAGTTTCGAACCGCTGACCTTAAGGTTCGCAGCCCGATTCGTAACCACTACGCTACCAGAGCTCCTTGTTAGCAAGATTAATTTTAGCATATTTAGTTAAAATTTTAAATAAAATATGACTCAATTTATGCAACATGCTTATTACTTTTTTGTCTTTAAATTATATTTTGTTGTTAAGGAAGTAGCATGCTCATTTAAATTAGAGAGCTGGCAAGTGTTTTAAATTTCCATTGTTTTTTTTCTCAGAATACATTCATTTTTTTATTCAGATTGGATTATTTTTAGATGGATGTCAGTTTAAGATTCAGTACCATAAATACTTATTTATGAAAGTGTTCTTGCCTATGTTTTACACCGATCACAGTGTGTTTTGAATTACAGTTACCTGTATGTGGAACTATCTAAATGAGGCCTCAAAGGAAGGGGTTGTGTTTTTATCATCTTCATGCCCTTCGCAGTAATGATCCTGGCCTTAAACAACCAGTAAATGTGTGAGTCATACAAACTACTAGTTAGTTCAATAGCAATATTTTCACACTGAAAGTACCAATCAAACTGTGTAAAAATAGTTACTACTTTTGAAGATCACTCCATTTCATTACAGGAAGTTATATCTTAGACCTCATTTTTCTATATTCCACTAATTAAGCACTGTTTAGGATAAAAGAATAGAGTTCTGATGTGGTGGTGGTGGTATGCCGTGGAGTGGTGTCAGTTTTGCCTCATAGCGATTCTGTATAGAGTTTCTGAGGCTGTAAATCTTAACAGGAGCAAAAAGTCTCATCTTTCTCCCGCAGAATGGCTGGTAGTTTCAAACTGCTGACTGTGTCATTAGCAGCCCGACTTGTAACCACTATGCTACCAGAGCTCCTTTCTTGGTGTGGTGCTATAGGATAAAGCACTGAACTGCAAGGTCAGTTTGAACCTCACAGTCAGCAGTTCATATGCGCCAGCTGCTCCTTAGAAACCCTATATACAGGGTTGCTGTGAGTCAGTTATCAGTGGAGATTTTTAAGTAGAGGTAGAAGGAAACCAAATTTATTTTTTAATATAAGCTTGCCCCCCACCCCCCAGAGATTAGGTATTAAATAACATTGTGATATATTTAAAAATTCTTACTACTATAACAGCTATACTATTTGGCTAACTGAATGATGCTTTGGTGATTAAGAGTTTACTGATATTAATCATTTAGAAAATACAAATGCACAGGAAGAAGATAAAAGAGACCTTTTAAATATGTTAACACTGATTATCTCTTGGGCATGGAGTTATGGTTGATAATTTTCTGCTTCTGAGTATTTTTGTACTTTGTAAATGCTTTGTGTATGGCTTGTATTATTACTTACCAGAAAACATCAAAAAAAGAAATAGGAGTTAAATCATGCTTAAAATTTCTGCTTGGCTTGTGAGCTAGTAATGTTACCAAGGCAGCTGATTTGGTAACAAACTAGTTTGTTGGCTCTGGTACATGGTGCGCCCCCTCCACCTGTGTCTCATCTCTTACTTGTCCTTCTGCTTCTAACAGCCTGGAATGGCTGTTGTTATAAGCAGAGCCAGAGCAGCTGATTGTTTCTGGATAGCTTGCCATGGATTCCAGTCACAATTACATTAGTAGTCAGTCTTTCTGAATAAAGATTTGTGTTATATTTATGTTATGGGACTTCCTGAAACACTGGTTTCTAAAGTTATAGACCTGTTGATAAGGCTTTTCCTATACATTCAAGTATACAACTCTTGAACATTGGTACCAGTGTGTCCATTTACCTTGTGATCATGTGGTGCTGTTATTAAGCAGAGAAAATGTTGTTAGTTGCCATCAAGTCAGTTCTGATTCATAGTGACCTTGTGCACAATAGAACGAAACACTGCCTGGTTCTGTGCCCTCATCACAATCTTTACGATGCTTGAGCCCATTGTTGTAGCCACTGTGTCAGTCCACCTCCTTGAGGGTCATTCTCTTTTTCTCTGACCCTCTACCTTACCCATCATAATGTCCTTCTCCAGGAACTGGTCTCTCCTTGATAACATGTCCAAAGTACATGAGACAAAGACTGACTATCCTGGCTTCTAAGGAACATTCTGGATGTACTTTTTCCAAGACAGATTTGTTCATTCTTTTGAACCCCCCAAAACCTACTGCTGTCTTGTTGTTAAGTGCCGTTGAGTCGGTTCCGACCCAGAGCGACTCTGTACAGGGTTTCTGAGGCTGTAAATCTACGGGAGCAGAACGCCTCATCTTTCTCCCGCAGAGCGGCTGGTAGTTTCGAACTGCTGGCCTTAAGGTTTGCAGCCTGATTCGTAACCACTACGCTACCAGAGCTACCTCTGTCTAGTCAATTTTAATTTACAGACCTTACATAATGTTTCTAAGGCTGTAAATCTTTCTCCTGTGGAGCAACTTGGTGGGTTTGAACTTCTGATCTTACAGTCCAATGCTTGTCCTCAGCACCACCAGAGTTCCTTTATTCTTCTGGTTGTTGTTGTTGTGAAGTGCTGTCGAGTCAGTTCTGACCCATAGTGACCCTGTATAGGGTTTCTTCTGGTAGTCCATGGTATATTCACTATTCTTCACCAGCACCATAATTCAGTGGCATCAATTTTTTTATATTCCTTATTCATTCTCCAGCTTTTTTTTTTCTTCTTCTTCTTAAGTTTTTATTGTGAATTAAGTGAAAGGTTACAGGGCAGATCATCACAACAAATCATACACTTTGTATTATTACAATGGTTATAATCACTTCCATGTACTGGTAGCGTAGTGGATACGATTTGGGCTGTGAACCGCAAGGTCAGCAGTTCGAAACTACCAGCTGTTCCATAGGAAGAAGATGAGGCTTTCTGTTCCTGTAAAGATTTACAGCCTTGGAAACCCTGTACAGGGTCGCTATGAGTTGGAACCGACTCCACGGCACATAAGCACCACCACCACCATGTACCATCAGGTAACAGTGTTTCTCTTTATTCATGTTAGCTCTTTTTTTTTTTTTTAAACACTCAGGCATATAGTCATTCTCCAGCTTTTACATGCATATGAGGTGATTAAAAATATCTTGGCTTGGGTTGGGCAATTCTTAGTCCTCAAAATGACATCTTGGCTTTGGAACACTTTAAAGAGGCCTTTTACAATAGATTTTTCCCCATGTAATGCATTGTTTGATTTCTTGACTGCTACTTCCATGGGTGATGGTTGTGGATCCAAGTAAAAGGAAATCCTTGACAACGTGAGTATTTCTCCATTTCACATGGTGTTGCTTATTGATTCATTTATAAGGATTTTTGTTTTCTTTATGTTGAGATGTAATTCACACTCTTTGATCTTCATTAGTAAGTACTTACAAGTCCTCTTGACTTTTAGCAATAAATGTATATCATCTGCATATGGCAGGTTGTTAATAAGTCTTCCTTCCAATTCTGATGCCATGTTCTTTTTATAGTCTAGCGCTTCAGATTATTTGCTTAGCATACAGATGAGCATTGGTGAAATGTTACAACTTGGATGCACACCTTTCCTGATTTTTCTATTTGAATGACTGACTACCTCTTGGTCTGTGCAGAGGTTCCTCATGAACACAATGGAATATTATGGAGTTCTCATTCTTTGCAATATTATCCATGATTTTATGATCACACAGTTGAATGCTTTTGCATAGTCAGTAAAACACAAGTAAATATATTTTGGATATTCTCTGCTTTCAGCCAAGATCTTTAGTCATTAGTGTTCAGTGTGTCAAATCTGTTCTTGGGATGGTGTCTAAATTCAGGTAGGATATACTCGAGGTTGTACTTTGGCTCTCATGGACCATTTTAATTTTCTTTAGCTTCTACTTGAACTTACATATGAGCAATTGATGGTCTTTTCCACAGTTCACCCCTGGCCTTTTTCTAACCATATTGAAATTTTCCATCATCTCTTTCCACAGATCTAGTCAATTTTCGTATATATTTCAAATGTTAATGTTTACAAGTATATTCATCAACTATGTTGTGAAACAAGATATCTTCAGTGAATAAGTTGTTCTTGTAAAATTCTATTACCTTATCTACTTTATCATTTTTATCACCAACGTCATATTTTCCAACTACTAGTCCTTCTACTTTGTTTACAGCTTTCACATTCCAGTCACCAGTAGTTAGCAGTGCATCCTTAGTCTTCGTTTTATTGTGAGTTGGGTGAAGGTTTAGAGAGCTGATCTGTTTTCCATTCCATAGCCCATACACATTTTATTTCATGTCACTGACTGCAGTCCACACAGTGAAACATCTCTTATCCCACTTCCTCCCTGTGTTTCCTATTTCCAGTCCTCCTCCTTTCCCTACCTTTCTGAAGTTTGTCCTTGCGCAAATGCTGCCTCTTGGTGCTCAAATGGTTGATCTTTCTAAGGTGTGCATACCGCCCCAGTGTTATGTTCTTCCTATTGACTTACTCTATTATTTATTTGGCTGAAAATTGAACCATAAATGTGAGTTCACTTCTAGACCTGAAGGATGGCTAAAGGCCATAATCTTTAGGGATTCTATTAGTCAATCCTACTAGCAAGTCTGGTCTTTTTTTTTTTTCTCCACAAGGAAGTGTAATTTTTATTTTATTTTCTTGTAGGTTACTTTTACTTCAGCCTTTAAGGGCACAATTCTTTACCTGG